ATGCAGATGTAGTGGATGTCTGTCTGTTCGTTTTACTTTACATTGGACAGATACCTTACCTTAACCGCCCGCCGGCTCCTCTGGGGACAGGCAGCAAAACGTCAAAGTGTGAAACGCGCTTATGCAGTCGGTTTGGGAGGAGGGAGATATCCTTCGGACTTTCTACTACAGTGATAGCTATCAAGCAGTATTTTGTTTGCCGGCTTGTACATGTCACCTGGATGTCAACGAGGCTCGAGAGCCATGCGAGCACACAGACTCGAGGGAGCAACGATGGGCCCAGGGATGATGGAATCGTCAAGGAAAAAATCCAACGGTCGGTCGCAGAAGAGGCAAAGGAAGAGACGCTGATGAGTTGGCTCGATCCAAGGTGTGATTCAGGGTGTGATCGGGACACGGATGGAATTCCTTCGGGGATATAAATGGATATTTTCCTTATAGGGTTTTGCAGGCACAGGGATCACACGGTTCGCTTCTTCTGCTTCTTCAGGTTCCCAATCCTCGTTTTGTTCCGGCTCTTGAACCCGTAGAGCAGATATGGTAACGCGTGGTGGGGAATGGTGGAGGAGGGGTTCAGCTGGTGTGGACTGGACGTCGAAATAAAATAAATAAATTCCTGTGAATTGGCCGTGAATGTGTGAAGCGGTGGTGCGAGCTGGGCTTTGCCGGGATCTTAATTACCGCCGGTATAGTCCGGGTTAGTGCCCTGTTTGAAGTTGAGTCACGCCTTGGGAAGCCATCACTATTAGTGCCAGCTACCCAGTTTTGAGAAGGATACACTATCTCTGGCACCCTCGGCTCGGTACATACATTCCACAAGAGATCTAGTAAATATCTGATAGTCCCGAAAATTTGCTGGGCCGGATCGCGAGAGAAGGAGATGGTTCACGATCTGGTGGATCGGCCCCATCGTATGTGCATCATGTTTGCTAACGCTGGACTTGCCGATGCGATGCCGATATCTGGTGGATCCAGATGACACTTCCTTGACTGTATGTATCGAAACGAGCTACGAACTTGGTCGATACGGAGGCATGAGCTGGCCAATGATGTCATTTGCTACCATTCAACGTCCACCATTCGAGACAAGTACGAACTGATTCAAATGCCGGCGTCGAGATGGCGTGAAGCTGGTGCGGTCCGCAGAGTTGGGACCACGGAGAAAGATGGTGAGCAGATGGTGCCAGAGACGGCGAGAGGGTGCCGTTGAATGGTATGAAGTCGCTGCTGTCCTGGCCTGTCGTTGGTACGTCAGGGCAGTTGGGTTGAGGTTGATAGATCTGGCCCTCGACCTCGTTCCATGTCGGAAGCACTGCGACTCGAGATCCGACCGAGGGCTGCGATTGGTTGAGGGGCAAGATATGCGCGGCCGAAACGCGTAGGTTCGCGTCCAGCCGTTTGCACTTTGATAAACAAAAGCGCGACGGCGCCGTCTCCCGTTGGACGGTTGGGACGGTTAGAGAATAACTGCCAAACGTGCTCGACCTCTCTCAATCAACTGGCTTCAACTGCCTCTCGACTGGCTCGCCGGCCCATCCGCCTTGCACGGCAGGCAGACTGAAGCAGAGGCAGAGGAAAGCTGCGTCTGCCGTGCACATCGCCCATCTGCTCGGCCCAGTTCACTCAAGCACCGGGCGGCCAGGCCGGTCCCCAGTCCAATCCCCTCCCCCGCGCCCTAGGGATCGTGCATCCCTCTGCACAGCCCACTTTTTGCCCGTTCTAGTGAATTCACGAGAGGACTTCACGGGAGGGTTTTCTCCCTGCTCCTGTACTGTACTGTGCTCAGATATCTTTCCCACTCTTCATCCCGAAACGAAAAGAAGCGACAAAGAACACAGACAGGATACCTTACACTACATGGTAATAACTGTATACCTATTCCTGACGACATCGCCGAGAGCAGCATCTGCACATCTGGACCTGGGACCAGCTCAAGGCTTGAACCACCACTTACATAGACGACGACTTTCCTGCTCTGCCGCACCCCTGCACCCGAAGACGACTAGCCCCCCTCCCTGTCCGAGGTCAGCCCGCGTCTTCCCACTCGTCCACTCCGTTGGCCTGTTCTCCGCTCCCTGCCTGCTCGCTGCCCCACCCCACGGCCTTCTTGGATTCTTGGAACAAAGTGTAGTGAGCTGGCAGACGGGCTCTCTTTCTCACACGCCCCCCCCCCCCTCCCCCAGCCAGACAGAGAGCACATCCTTCTAGTACCCTACACTACCCTACTACCCGCCCGCGTCAAGCACCACCAACCTTACCTCCCTCGACTCCTCTCTTCCCTCCCACTTCCCCTCCCTCGACTCAACCTGACATCCGTATCGTGAAGAAGCAACGATAACCCCGCGACACCAAGATCGGTAACAATCATCGGTCTTCAGTCCTCTCACTCACTGTGCTGTGTCGCTCACTGTCGCCAAGCGCCCACCCTCATCCATTACACGAGAAGGACGACGACCATCCCTTGCCTCAACCGCCCCCCACAATTCCATCAAACCAGATCCGCACCACAGGTGGAGGTAAGAAAAGAGCTTTAACAGTCTTTGATCCTTTCCCTCACTGTCGTCACACCATCTTCTTATCCGATCGCTGTCGACGACCGACTCCTTGCCCGGCCGAGCGCGTCCCGTCTCATCTCATCGACACATCAGCGACTGACCAACAGCTCAAGGGCACCATCGATATAACCACATCGCTCCACTCCACAGCTCGGCCTGACATGGCCAAGCCACCGCGTTTTCAGGCCTCTCAAGCCGGCTTCCCCATCTACGAGGACTTCAACTTCGACCAGACAGCTCCCATCATCAGCAACGCGCCCATGCCTCCAGCACCGAAGCCGGCCCGACAGCCTCTCCAGAGCGCCGATGCCAATGTCGTACTGAACCCGCCCACATCTAGCTTTGTCAAGCAATCACCACTGAAGCCAAGTGCTCCGCCATCCAATATGCCGCTCACCCCGATGAAGTCGTCTCGAAGCAGCAAGCTCAGCATGGTTCAGATGATGCCGCCAAGCAACTTTCAGCAGCAAGGGACCGACTCGCCCGAGAAGAGACAACCTGTAATGTCGAGGTTCAAGACGGTCGCCCAAAAACCTCAGCAGTCCGACTTCAACATTCAGCAGTTCATGGGCAAGGAAAACTCACATCCCATGATTTTCCCCGCGCCACCCCAGCCACAACAGTTCAACCTACCTCTGGAGCATTATTACCAAAAACCGTCAGGAAAGCGATTGTTGGAGGCTGCACCGATCAAGGAACTGAGGCCCGCCAAGAAGCAAAGGGTGGACGACGCGCTGCCACCGCACGACTCATTCCCGCAGATTATCGACGATGGATCAAAGCCAGGACACAGCTATGCGACTTTGATTGGGATGGCCATTCTCCGCTCACCACAGCGACGATTGACACTGGCTCAGATCTACAAGTGGATTTCTGACACATATTCCTTCTACAATGCCAACGATGCGGGGTGGCAGAACAGCATCCGTCATAACCTGTCTCTCAACAAGCACTTCATCAAGCAGGAACGACCCAAGGATGATCCGGGCAAGGGCAACTATTGGGCAATTGAACCGGGCGCAGAACACTTGTTCATGAAGGAAAAGCCCTCGAGGAAAGCGGCCGCCCCATCAGCTGAGAATATGCCGGTCATGTCGACGCGTCTCGAGCCCTCTCAACCACAAATGCCTCAATTTCACGAACCGATTTTGCCGCCTCAGCTTCCCATCGCACCCAACTCTCTGCCGCAATTACCGCCAATGCCATCATCGCAACAGCTAGCTCCTGCAAGCCACTTGCCGGAACTCTCATCCGACGCCACCATTCCAGCTTCCGATCTGGTCACCGTCGATGACGGGCATGACAGGCTTGGGGAGAATGACCTTCACGACAACAACCTGTACTCTCCTCTGCCTGCGGCCATGCACTCCTCGCCTCCCGTTCCCAAACGTGTGGAATCGAGACACAGTGACACCCCCCCACCTCAGAGGCGGGGACATGGTTCGTCGGTCAGCAAGTCGCGTACTCGGCGTTCGTTCATGGATGATAGCGGGTACATTTCCTCCCTCGAGTCGTCAGCAATGCGTCCTGGCCGGGACCACTCCAAGCTACTCACCTCTGAGGCTGATCGTCCGCGTCTTCGTAGAGGCCTGGCCGAGGAAGAGATTGTCCGTCTCCGCGCCTCATCTTACGACAGCCCCTCAAAGGGCCGCTCTCAGGGCTACGTTCCGCCTTCCTCGTCACCTCTGCGGCAGCCAGTTCATAGCAACGCTGGGCAGATGCTTCCGCCGTTGACCCCTGCCATGAAGCTCAAGGCGCCCCCCAAGCCACCAGCGTCAGTCTCGCCTAGCACCAACTTGCGCCTTCACCGAGAAAGCATCCAGTCCATGGTGGACGGGGACTCGCCCTACAAGCGCGTCGCGGCTATGTGTCCCGAAGTGCAGCTCACCCCCGGCTATCTCATGGATGATTTGTTCGCCAACTTCGAGCATACCAAGGACGACGAATTTCCAGAGTTCGACATCTTCAACGAGACGTACACTTCGCTCTATGCTCTGTCTCCTGCCGGAATCGCGCCCACCGGCTCGCCTGTGAAGCGCTCTGTGAGGAAGCAGAGACTGGAACGCTCGCATTCCACGGGCGCGTTGAGCGACCTGGCCGCTCCCTTGTCCAACAATTCTGCGAGCTCGGCGTCTTTCCTCAAGGTTCCTGCTCAGCCGAACAATCTGATGCTGGAGACACCGAGCAAGGTCTTTGATGGCCTTCTTTCATCGCCAAGCAAGCTTTTCCACGACCTGCAATCGCCATCCAAAATGCCAGCGGCGCTCAACGGTGAGAATCTGGCCCCCTGGCTCTCCATGGATGACCTCTACGCGCCTGATGTCCTCGGAGAGGAGAGTAACGATTTCCAACCGATTGACATGCTCGCTGGGTTCGAGAAGATTGGCTCAAGCAGCTCGCAAGCATCGCGCAACAACAACAACAACAACAACAACAATAACAATAATCGGCCCTCTCAAAAATCGAGCCTCACCCGCTCGTACACTACCAAGTTTTGAGGGGTCCATGAATCCATGAGTTTATAGGGCCCGTGGTTTGTGTTCCCTTGCCATTCTCGCATATCACTTTGTAAGACTGGGAAGGAAAGCACAAGATGACGACAGTTACGACTGATGACATATTACACTCACATATGTGGCGGCGGAGGGGGGGCTCGCACACACACACAACACAAGTATTGGTTTGCATTATATGGGGTTAAAAAGGGGCTGGCGCGCTTCCAGCCTCACGGCTGCTTCTTCTTCCAGATGTGGATGATCTTTTGGGGCGGCTTGGGGGGGTGGGGGGGAATACTTTACTTGTCGTGGGATTATCTTGTCGTAATCACGAATACTTAATGAAGGGATGGGTTCTTTGTTTTTCAATAGGGGGGTTGGGTAAACCGGAGTATATAGGGGGGTACCACACACACAACATACACAACAACAGCAAGGGAAGGGTCAAACGGGACAACAACAGCATATTCTGGACTTGGGAAGCGTGTTTAGCTTTGGGAGCGAGCTTTGTTTTTGTGGCTTTTCTTCTTTTCTCATCCTGGCTTTTCGCTGTTCTGCGGGAGGATTTTTTTTCAGTGAGGTTTTGATATCTCTTCTGGATTTTTCGGTTCTTTCTTTTCACCGGCGGCCTGGATTGCGTTGTGTCTTTTTTTTGGGGGGGGATATATGGGTTGGGACTGGGTTGGTTGGGGCGGGGATTGTATTTGGAGATCCATTATAACATGTATGGATTGGGCTTCTGTGTGTGGTCGTGGTTGGATCTGGGAGCTCATTTCTGTGTTGGGTTATATCGATCTGTGTAGGGGGATATCTTTGTTTGGATTTCCTTTACAGGATCTGTGGGAATACCTGGGTTGGGAATTTTTATTTTCTGTTGAGAATCATCAATCTGATTTTGCGCTTTGCGGATTTGTTGTTCTCTTCTGTGGACATTATTGACTTTTGGCTTTGACATATGTACAGGTGAATGTGTATAAAATGATGTGATGTGTAGGTGGGGGTTCACGTGTGTGAAAAGAATTAAGGCTTGACTTTGACTCTGCCCTGTTCAAGATGCTTTTGGAACGTGATGTTTATATCAGGACCAAACTGAGACTATTTCCCAGACTAAGAACCAGGTTCAATAGGTCTTCACTCCAAACCTGAAAAATTACACTTGAACAGCTCTAACGCAAGAACGACCATCCTATCTACATCTCAAAAACATATCCCCGTGTGAGAGCAAGCACCAGAAATGTCCTAGCATACACCTCCCACTTTGATACGAAAAGAGGCAAAGAAAGCCCAGAGTCCACTTCACACCTCAAAATCCAA